AGTTTTAGTTTGTTTGTGACGTACTGTTGAGCAAACAGTCGATAAAAATTCACGATGTCTTAGCTGTATAGTTTTTAAAAAAGAACCGTGACTAGGCTCTCGTTCTTGTCAATAAAGTAAATTGTTTGTGGTATGGTTAAAAGATATAGATTCTCAATATCAAATCGAAAGCAAGCGATTTCTGTAACACTAAACCGAAGTCAATCTATGTAAATGTAGTTAACAGCCGATATAAATGTAGTTAATGATAATGTCTGTTGAAGATCTCGGCTAGCGTTATTCATATCCTGTTAAAAACACGTGTTTGACACATTACACATTGAATACATTAAACCTGATTACCTGTTCACTTGTGATCATAGTAATAAAAACGTAAATTACAGAGTATGGTTTTCATCTTTAATACTGAAATTTAAAAAAGACAAAACAACAACATATAGCAAAAACATCAGGGAAAGTTCAAACACATATACGTAGATACTACAGATATACCATGCCTTCTCAGGATATAGTCAAAATATTTTACCCAAATTGAGTGTACATATATAGTAGGCCATGTCTTATCTTACACGCGTCCATTTTTGTTTTATTCTGGCGAGCTTTGTTTAATAATAGCATACCAAACCATTTGCCGATGAAATACAGTCTAGTTCAAATGTTACCTTGACCTTTGACCTGATGTAGATAACTTAAGTTGTAGTTTAAACAACATCTATTGAATATTTCAAAAATATTACATATACCATATACTGGTGCCATATACAATGTATTTACAATTTAGAACTAATCTATAATCTGACCCCAGTGACCTTGATGGAAGTCAAGGTCATTCATCTGAGCAAACTTGATAATCCTTTAATACAACATTGCCTCTGGTCTAATATCATGACCCTAATGCTTTTTTAATGTGTAGAGGATGAATATTAATTTTTAGCATTTCACTCATGTACTATTATTTTAACAAGAGGGTCATGGACTTTAACAGTTATACAACTATAAGGACCTTTATAGGATAAAAGTGTATTAGTAGTTGGAATATTTAGCATTTAGGGCAGAAAAAAAATCCTCATATCAGTTTCTTAACAAAATTTCAACGTCGTGGCACCAGTGGAATTCAGAAGAAGTTTTAGAAGGTGACGGCCATGGGGCATTATTGGATTTCAGACAGGCTCAAAAAATAACAACACTTAGTCAGGACCATTTCAGGATCATTTCAGACATGTTTAAGCTCAAATGCACTTGTGGAACGAGAAGTTTAGCTATTGTCTAATTACGTTCCACTCTTGTTAAACTAGTTTTAAACATACCAGGAATCCTACAGTGGGCAGTCCCCTCGGAGTCCAGGGGAAATTCCACATGGTCAGCCAGGTGACCCCTACTTATTCACATTCGTTCTGTGAATCAAACCCTGGACAGGTTAACAATTTTTCATATACAAAATGTATTCAGTTTCAAGTGAAGAACAATCCATATTTCAGTTCGAATATTTGCCTATATCTCTACAGTGTCAACACAAATCAGTTTCACGGCTAAACATTTCCTACCTACCATTATATTCCCAAAACTTACATGAAGAGCGCTTCTAACTAATACGCACCCTGAGGGAGAGGGTTACATGTACCTGGGTTGTACCAGTACGTACCCTGAGGGAGAGGGTTACATGTACCTGGGTTGTACCAGTACGTACCCTGAGGGAGCGGGTTACATGTACCTGGGCTGTACCACTACGTACCCTGAGGGAGCGGGTTACATGTACCTGGGCTGTACCACTACGTACCCTGAGGGAGCGGGTTACATGTACCTGGGTTGTACCACTACGTACCCTGAGGGAGCGGGTTACATGTACCTGGGTTGTACCACTACGTACCCTGAGGGGGCGGGTTACATGTACCTGGGTTGTACCAGTACGTACCCTGAGGGGGCGGGTTACATGTACCTGGGCTGTACCACTACGTACCCTGAGGGAGCGGGTTACATGTACCTGGGCTGTACCACTACGTACCCTGAGGGAGCGGGTTACATGTACCTGGGCTGTACCACTACGTACCCTGAGGGAGCGGGTTACATGTACCTGGGCTGTACCACTACGTACCCTGAGGGGGCGGGTTACATGTACCTGGGTTGTACCAGTACGTACCCTGAGGGAGCGGGTTACATGTACCTGGGTTGTACCAGTACGTACCCTGAGGGGGCGGGTTACATGTACCTGGGTTGTACCAGTACGTACCCTGAGGGAGCGGGTTACATGTACCTGGGTTGTACCAGTACGTACCCTGAGGGAGCGGGTTACATGTACCTGGGCTGTACCAGTACGTACCCTGAGGGAGCGGGTTACATGTACCTGGGCTGTACCACTACGTACCCTGAGGGAGCGGGTTACATGCACCTGGGCTGTACCACTACGTACCCTGAGGGAGCGGGTTACATGTACCTGGGTTGTACCAGTACGTACCCTGAGGGAGCGGGTTACATGTACCTGGGCTGTACCAGTACGTACCCTGAGGGAGCGGGTTACATGTACCTGGGTTGTACCAGTACGTACCCTGAGGGAGCGGGAGCGGGTTATCAGTACGTACTCTGAGGGGGCGGGTTACATGTACTTGGGCTATACCAGTACGTACCCTGAGGGAGCGGGTTATATATACCTGGGCTGTACCAGTACGTACCCTGAGGGGGCGGGTTACATGTACCTGGGTTGTACCAGTACGTACCCTGAGGGAGCGGGTTACATGTACCTGGGTTGTACCAGTACGTACCCTGAGGGAGCGGGTTACATGTACCTGGGTTGTACCAGTACGTACCCTGAGGGAGCGGGTTACATGTACCTGGGTTGTACCAGTACGTACCCTGAGGGAGAGGGTTACATGTACCTGGGCTGTACCAGTACGTACTCTGAGGGAGCGGGTTACATGTACTTGGGTTGTACCTCTACGTACCCTGAGGGAGCTGGTTATATGTACCTGGGCTGTACCAGTACGTATCCTGAGGGAGCGGGTTACATGTACTTGGGTTGTACCTCTACGTACACTGAGGGAGCGGGTTACATGTACCTGGGTTGTACCAGTACGTACCCTACGGGTTAACTTGGGCTATACCAGTACGTACCCTGAGGGAGCGGGTTACATATACCTGGGCTGTACCAGTACGTACCCTGAGGGGGCGGGTTACATGTACTTGGGCTATACCAGTACGTACCCTGAGGGAGCGGGTTACATATACCTGGGCTGTACCAGTACGTACCCTGAGGGAGAGGGTTACATGTACCTGGGCTGTACCAGTACGTACCCTGAGGGAGCGGGTTACATGTACTTGGGTTGTACCACTACGTACCCTGAGGGAGCGGGTTACATGTACGTGGGCTTTACCACTACGTACCCTGAGGGAGCGGGTTACATGTACTTGGGTTGTACCACTACGTACCCTGAGGGAGCGGGTTACATGTACCTGGGCTGTACCACTACGTACCCTGAGGGAGCGGGTTACCTGGGCTGTACCACTACGTACACTGAGGGAGCGGGTTACATGTACCTGGGCTGTACCACTACGTACCCTGAGGGAGCGGGTTACATGTACTTGGGTTGTACCACTACGTACCCTGAGGGAGCGGGTTACATGTACATGGGTTGTACCTATACGTAGCCTGCAGGAGCGGATTACATGCACTTGGGTTGTACCACTACGTACCCTGAGTGAGCGGGTTACATGTACTTGGGCTGTACCAGTACGCACCCTGAGGGAGCGGGTTACATGTACCTGGGTTGTACCAGTACGTACCCTGAGGGAGCGGGTTACATGTACATGGGTTGTACCTATACGTAGCCTGCAGGAGCGGGTTACATGTACCTGGGTTGTACCACTACGTACCCTGAGGGAGCGGGTTACATGTACCTGGGTTGTACCAGTACGTACCCTGAGGGAGCGGGTTACATGTACCTGGGCTGTACCAGTACGTACCCTGAGGGAGCGGGTTACTTGTTCGACCTTATTTATATCATTGACACACAATATATATATTAAAGTTTTTCGACTTACAAATATTAGAGTTGTTAAATTCATATATAATAAAGTTTTTCGATTTACAAATATTGAAGTTGTTTGACTTACATGAGGCGAGTCATTCAAACTATAATATTGCGTTACCATCGTTACTCCACGTAACAGACGATGTTTTGAAAATATCAAAATAACTACAACGACAGAAAAAAACATAATATTATTTACGTTTAACAATGTTTATATTTGAGGTGATCTATTTATATTTTGGCTGCATTTCTTGATATGTTTGTAGGGTACCAATTTGTGGTATGTAGGGTACCAATTTGTGGTATGTAGGGTACCAATTTGTGGTATGTAAAACTACATGTAGGTGTCTCCCTGACAAACAAGAAAGGCCATCGGTCACTTTCGGTGTCATGAAACATCTAAAGCATTAAAGTCAGCGGAATATATAAATACAAAACAATTAAGGAAACCTTACGGGGCAATTAAATTCTATATAGCTGTCATTCAAATTTCATTCATATCGATTGTAAACTGCCATCATGTAACAGCTCAATGAACGCAATGGGAAACCGACATATTCCAAATGTACTGCGTAATCACAACATTAACATAAATGTAATATAGATTGTTTAAATTCAACATTTTGTCATGGTTTCGTCATGTACAACCAAGAAAACAACTTGTTCTCATTTTCTCCGAAGAAGCGAAATTTACAAACAAAAATCCGGAACTTGCGTAAGATGTCCGGATGGTGTGAAGGTTCTTTTAATTTGTCCATCCTGATCAGTGTTGTCATTTCAATAATGTGCGTTGTACATCGGCATATTTCTCTGTTTCTCGTTTGAAGTAAGACCGACACATGTTGGTCTGATTTCCGTCTGAAGTATGTCAATCGACAAGCAACACATATTCATCCAGATACCTGTTTACTGTTGTTCATTATGGCTCATCCGTATGAGTTGAATTGTTCGTCCGTCTGTCCAGACGCCCGTAGGAGATTAAAAGCCCATATCAAAGATGTGACGGTTGATTCTCCTCTCTAAAAAAGCCCATGGCTATAAAGAAAGCAAGACGACATGCACGTGTGTAATTGACAGATGTTTATCTACTCAGTGATGGCTCTCCCTGATGACAATTTTAAAGAGCAGAGAATATGTGTTGGATTTTAGAGCAATAGTTTCAAATTACAAATCATATCAAGTATCTTTCTCGGATATGATATGGTTACGATAAGTGAAATCTTTGAGACACGATATCAATATGAAAATAAGTTTTCACGTCAATTTTTTTTACTATAGTATCAACGCTTCAACTTCGACAAAATTTTCTGAGCCTTTTGGTTTCATAAATATGAAGGTAGGTTTTAATACACATATATATACTAAAATATATTAGCACATGTATTAAGATATACTATTTATCTTTGAAATTGTATCGTCGACAACATCAATGAAATAAATAAAGCCTAGAGGTTCATTAAATCCCATCAACCAACATATTTGATCTTAACTGCTATTTAATATTTTCATTTTCGTCTTTCCTCTTCTTTCATATATTTTGTATGTAGTATTGAGAAACGACTGAATTATTTTGTAACATCATTTAATGACGCAAATCTATATTTGAAATTAGAGAAATATTCTTCTGTGCTAGCAAAACAGTGGCAATCTCGAAATTTAAAAAAATGTAAAAAATGGACACAAGGAACTGGTATTCAAAAATTTCAGAAATCGCTACAGTACTTCTCCCGAACGCAATAACCAACTTTAAAAGTAAAACACAAATATGGCCCCTCTCGACATATTTGCAGTCTCAAAACTAAAGAGGCGTGGCTAAGGACTACGGTTGAGAACCTACGTTTGGATTTTGTCGAGAAATGTCCATCTGGCATCTTTTTCAATAAACAACAACTACAACCTCTTACTTACTGTTATTATCACAGATTTTTATGGCAGCTGACGATGATGGACAAAACGCTGAAGACAGCAGATTTTGGCCAGTGCAGCAAATTTTGGCCAGTGGTGACTTAGTACTGTTCGAAGCAATTGAACCATGTTTTTTTTTTAATTGCTCTTACTACTTAAGAATGTTGAACCACCAATCTGTTTTTTCCGTCTTGATAATATGCAAAAATATTGTTAGTCTTGGCACTTACATGCTTCAACTGAAGCATCAAGATTAGATTTTTACCTGATTTGATCTGATGTTGTTTAAATTTAACCTGTTCAACTTGAGACCTGCTCTAAAATTTTGTCGAAGTCTCTTTTATTTTGATGACGACCTATTGCAACGTTCACCTGAATTAAAACTGCAATATTCAAACAGCAAAAGAACAAACATACACAGTAGTTTGATGATGAGAATGTGACAGGATAACCAGCTCGAAAGGGTGCTTTAACCTAAATGCCGGATAAGATCATGGCTCCCTCTTTCTCATATGTTGTACACCGTATAGGGCTCCGCCCAATGACGTTATTTGTATGAAATTTATCCAGCCTTTCGGGAGGAGTAGAATTTTGACTGTAGAGCATACTTGTGTATAACTTACCGTGCCTTTCCGACATGTATCGTCCTCCAACCATACTTGAAGGTCCCGGATGACCTGGGCAGGCCGTTTCCGATCATGTAAGGCGTCACAAAGATTACAGAATTGGGCCCATATTCCAGTTTGGATTATTTTATACTTTGTCCTCCACTTAAAATAGCTTTTATATAGATCTTTATCCGAGGCTACTTTTTGTATATATTCAGCAGCCGACCTTATGTCGGGAAAGTCAAAAATATTGATATAGGAATGTTTAATAACTGGATAATTCTGCTGTTGTTTTTTCCAGTTCACGATTGGAATATTTTCCGAACTTAGAGAACTCCAATACTTCTCAGAAATATAATCATTACAATAACTATTTTCAAATTGAATCATGAATTTGTAACTTCTGAGTTTATCATTGCACGCTGCGTTGTCTCTTGGACATGAAAGGTTACCACAGCGACCGTAGAAATCAACAGGCACGTGCTGTCTCAACTGTTCCACAAGTCGGTATCTCTGGACTTCGTCATAACAGTCACTGTTTGTGATAGACACATTATTTACTTTATGTTTCATATGGTTGAAAAAACTTGAATTATACCAAATTTCATTTGCCCTCATTTCCTCTTTGGTTAACGGCACTGCGATAGCAAAAGGGGCCTCAACTGTGGAATCTCTGCGATATGTCATGGTCCAATTAAAAGTGTTACGGAAGCGTCGTAGGTCGGGCCAAACTCGAGTCGTGGGTTCAGCCCACCATACAACCCATATTTGACTCGGGTCGCGGTAAGCCGGCATTCCGAGCCAAAACCACAAGTCGAAAATATGGAAGAGTACAGCATCTGCTTCCTGTATCCGTGACTTATCGGAAGTAACCGAGCACGCATGTGCGCATTCCTTCATCTGTTTCGCTAAAACGTCCGTCCAAAACCATTGAAAAAACATTGGAGTCCATACAAGGATCAGGCGTTCTGATTTTTCCTTCCAAACTCGATCAGAGAAATAGACGACATGTTTTTCGGGTAGCGCCCCCTCTTGTACCATAAACTGCGTTCCTTTATCCGTCCACTCCGCGTTATGTATTAGACACAGAATCCATAAATAGATATATAGCATCAGAAATGTAATGGCGAACGCACGGCTCCGCATCATAACAAGGAGATAAGGGATCTGAAATGGAAAATAAGAGAGAAAAATGAAGATTCTTCTACCTCATTACATGTCTACGTTAGGCAAATAGTGAGTAAACTAAATGAGTAACCGAGTCTTTAAGGCAAGGAGCATGAGGTCGTACTCAAATCAGGTACATTTCTTTACGGGATAGCTGCCCAGAGGTGATATTAGCGCCGTTAACAAATATTTTTAAAAATAGTTTGGATAAGTACAAGATCGACCAGTAAAGTATGTACAATAACAGAGCTAATGACAAGAGGTAACAAATATCTTGATGTTACTTTTCGTTGGAACAATTCGCTGTTTAACGACCGCAAAAACATCATTCTATAGATCGTCTGTCGATGCGATATCTTTGCTCAATCGCCGAGCTGGGTAAAACTTATAAGACGATGACCTGCGTTATTTCGCACCGTGGATTTGCCGCAATGTCATCCAGCTAGTCGAAATAACGAAGTTTACCTTTATTTCCCTTATTTGGTTTACAGAACAAAGGCTTTCCCGTAAAGGATCGGTATTTAGACATGTCGCTAATTAGCAGTTTTATCAAAAAGGAATTCTCGTTATTTCGTCGCCAAATATCGAAATACGAAACAGTACATAAGATATAGATACAGATGACCGACTGACCACACGCCAACAGTCAGTAAATTAATCCTCATTTCTATCACAATCACTCATTGGTACCCCAACATTACAGATACTACCAACCATTTCTACCACATTCACTAATATTGGTACCCAACATTATAGATACTACCATCTCCATTACAATGAAGCGTCCTGATTCATCCTTTCTTATTCTATTACCTCCCTTTATAACATCGACAAATTTGTAATTATGTAAGATATCACACAACATACGATAATGGATGTTGGGAGAACATTAAATGACGTAATACAAAACAAATCTAACAATGCTGACAATCCATTGGTACACCTTTGTGACACACATGTCCCAAACAAATAAATACTGTAACTATAACTACAGTGTAGGTGTGTTTGGATGGCAGTTCTTACTGCTGCAGATCGATCTCGTACGTAACAGTAAAATAGAACGCTTATACCAATCACATTAACAAAAGTTGTCCGATTATTGATATGCAGGGTCCTGATAAGGCATTTACAGGATTTTGAATGACATTTCCCAACCGAAAAACGGATTGTTCACAACTGCATATGTGATATCGAAAATATGTCATTCATACTTACCAGAAATGCCAATTGCAAGCAGTTAATTTCCTGTCTTTACATTTGCAGTTTTCTCCTTTTTCCATTCTATATTTGTAATTGTATTAATCCTGAAACAGATATATATTACCTTATAAGAAATTTATGGACAGCTATGTTGACTGGGGTACGCCGCTTTAATCCCACAGTTACGCATCAGAGGTCGAGAGATTTTTATCCACTGTTTTCATTTTCCATACTATACCATTTCAATCACATGCGTCATTGAATATCGACTCTGTCGACATTAATCCTCTGATCATTGAAATGTATGGTTGATCGTTTCAAAGCAAAGCTAAAATGTATTCAAATGAATTTAAATGTCAATAAACATCACACCCGGATCGCTGAGACTAGCCATTGATTTTGAAGGTGTACAATAAAAATGTTTGCAAAATCATGCATTCATGCAGTCGCTGACAGGTAATATATGCAGTGTATTATACCCCAGAAATGATAAGTAAACTGGATAGTTATTCACAGGACAAAATACCGAAACAATATGTATTCAAGTGCAAAGTATGGTATAATCATTTATACAAGCATGAACAACAGTCTGTTAAGAACAGAGCTTGTGACGTCGTTACCAAGCTATTCTGAATAAGAATTTTTGAAAGCGTTTTACAGATAACTTGATAATTATGATCTTGTCACAGTATGTGTGGGTATGTAGGACACAGCTGCATGTAGATGATCTTGAACTATACATTTCCTTTTGAGTTTTCAACAATAGGCCAATGGCCTCGTATGTGACTGACGCCTTATTTGTTGACTTCCCAATGTACAATGTATCTGTGTTTGTGTGTCAGTTCTGATTGTATTTATACAGACTACACATTGTACAATGTATTTGTGTTTGTGAGTCAGTTCTGACTGTTGTATCTATATAGACTACACATTGCACAATGTATCTGTGTTTGTGTGTCAGTTCTGAATGTTGTATCTATATAGACTACACATTGCACAATGTATCTGTGTTTGTGTGTCAGTTCTGAATGTTTTATCTATATAGACCACACATTGTACAATGTATCTGTGTTTGTGTTTCAGTTCTGAATGTTTTATCTATATAGACCACACATTGTACAATGTATCTGTGTTTGTGTTTCAGTTCTGAATGTTGTATCTATATAGACTACACTTTGTACAATGTATCTGTGTTTGTGTGTCAGTTCTGACTGTTGTATCTATACAGACTACCCAATGTACAATGTATTTGTGTTGGTTTACCAGCTCTGACTGTTGTATCTATATAGACTACACATTGTACAATATATCTGTGTATGTGTGTCAGTGAGACCAGTGACCTAGAGACCTGAGACCTAGAGACCAGACACCTTGAGACCAATGACCTAGAGACCTGAGACCTAGAGACCAGACACCTTGAGGCCAGAGACCTAGAAACCAGACACTTTGAGACCAGTGACCTAGAGACCTGAGACCTAGAGACCAGAAACCTTGAAACCAGAAACCTTGAGATCAGTGACCTAGATACCTGAGACCTAGAGACCAGACACCTTGAGACCAGTGACCTAGAGACCTGAGACCTAGAGACCAGACACCTTGAGACCAATGACCTAGAGACCTGAGACCTAGAGACCAGACACCTTGAGACCAATGACCTAGAGACCTGAGACCTAGAGACCTGAGACCTTGAGACCAATGACCTAGAGACCTGAGACCTAGAGACCAGAGACCTAAAAGCGATGGTAATGGACATAAGGAATGCTCATAAACGCGTAGTGTAAACACGTTTTGTTTGTCAGTTGTGCAGTCCAGAGATAGAACTGAGAACAGTTCCCGATGTTTGCCGCAACCTGCACGTCACGTTTTAATTCATTCGAATAATGGCACGGTTCAAAATATATGTACTTGAAGTTGTTCTAAAATTAGCAGATATATGATAATTACAGTGACTAATGCACCGTCGTCTCCTAAATTTCAAAATTTAAACCCTTAGCATCACTGACAAGTCCTGCAAAGACGAAAAAGCTGCTTGACGCTGTTAAATCAATTATATGGCACAACTATATCTAATTCAATTTTTTCCTTAAAAGGTGTTATACGCTTATGTGTCTATAATTGTCCAATATCTCCAAAGGTGCATACAGGTATCATTATAACATCAGTAATATTAAAATATACTGATTTAATTTTTTAAATCGTGGGTGTGGGGGGGTGGGGTTTGTGCCACATTCACATTTTAAAAGATCAAATAACAGAACAGGTGGTATGAATATAAAACCAGTCTGTTTTGTAGCTATTCAAATGATTCCAATAGTAATGAATAAGTAATTTACTTACTGACAGCTCGCCATGTCCTTTTAAAAAACTGAAGTTATCTATTTGATGTTAATTATGTCATTTAAACACAAGTTTAAGTCCTTTTCTTTTCAGATTATAGTGCTGATTTGATATAAATTGTGGTCTGGTCTCTTCCAGGACGACCAGATATCAAATGTGTCAGCTGAGCTAATATTGTACTGATTTGAGTTAAATTGTGGTCTGGTCTACAGATATCAAGTGTGACAGTTGAGCTAATATTGTACTGATTTGAGTTAAATTGTGGTCTGGTCTACAGATATCAAGTGTGACAGTTGAGCTAATATTGTACTGATTTGAGTTAAATTGTGGTCTGGTCTACAGATATCAAGGATTACAGTTGAGCTAATATTGTACTGATTTGAGTTAAATTGTGGTCTGGTCTACAGATACAAGTGTGACAGCTGAGCTAATATTGTACTGATTTGAGTTAAATTGTGGTCTGGTCTACAGATACAAGTGTGACAGCTGAGCTAATATTGTATTGATTTGAGTTAAATTGTGGTCTGGTCTACAGATACAAGTGTGACAGCTGAGCTAATATTGTACTGATTTGATATAAATTGTGGTCTGGTCTACAGATATCAAGTGTGACAGTTGAGCTAATATTGTACTGATTTGATATAAATTGTGGTCTGGTCTACAGATATCAAGTGTGACAGTTGAGCTAATATTGTATTGATTTGAGTTAAATTGTGGTCTGGTCTACAGATACAAGTGTGACAGCTGAGCTAATATTGTATTGATTTGAGTTAAATTGTGGTCTGGTCTACAGATATCAAGTGTGACAGCTGAGCTAATATTGTACTGATTTGAGTTAAATTGTGGTCTGGTCTACAGATACAAGTGTGACAGCTGAGCTAATATTGTACTGATTTGAGTTAAATTGTGGTCTGGTCTACAGATACAAGTGTGACAGCTGAGCTAATATCAAGTGTAGTTGATTTGATATAAATCGTGGTCTGGTCTACAGATATCAAGTGTGACAGTTGAGCTAATATTGTACTGATTTGATATAAATTGTGGTCTGGTCTACAGATACAAGTGTGACAGCTGAGCTAATATTGTACTGATTTGAGTTAAATTGTGGTCTGGTCTACAGATACAAGTGTGACAGCTGAGCTAATATTGTACTGATTTGATATAAATTGTGGTCTGGTCTACAGATACAAGTGTGACAGCTGAGCTAATATTGTACTGATTTGAGTTAAATTGTGGTCTGGTCTACAGATACAAGTGTGACAGCTGAGCTAATATTGTACTGATTTGAGTTAAATTGTGGTCTGGTCTACAGATACAAGTGTGACAGCTGAGCTAATATTGTACTGATTTGAGTTAAATTGTGGTCTGGTCTACAGATACAAGTGTGACAGCTGAGCTAATATTGTACTGATTTGAGTTAAATTGTGGTCTGGTCTACAGATACAAGTGTGACAGCTGAGCTA